ATGAGCTCATGAATGTATACTTAGTAGATTCCGTAGGTCTGGGCTAGGTTATACCATTATGAGGGGAAGAAATTCAACATTATCCCTGTCTTATGTCATTCCATAAGATGCTATACACAGATGTTGAATACTAAAATTTGATTGTTTTCTTCCTGAATATTTTTCAGAACGAAGCATTTTCATTTCTTAGAATATCATCACAAGAATGCCAGTTTTTGCTGATTTGCTATTTCCCTCAGTTTCATTTTAAAAGTTAAGAAGTTTTTTGTGTGTAAAATGTTCTTTTATATGAAAATATACTGTTTTCTTAATTGTAATACCATCCTTTTAGTGATTTTTCAAAAGGTATTATTGGTCTCTTAAAGTTTATTGGTATGCAGAAATGTTCAGACCTACTTAATTGTCAGTGCCAATTCATTGTATGAAGTTATTATACATTTTTTCTTTGAAAATCAATGATGAATTCTTACCGGTAATATTATATTCCATATCATAAGAATCAAATTAGAGTTTAGGCCTCATATTGGTTTTAACTCTGTTTTTATTGTAGGATTGGAAGAGGAGCAGGAGGCACTGTTTTAAATAGATGAGGGAGGGCATCAGCTTTGTATTCTGTGTGTATTCCTCTAATATAAACAGAGAACATGTTCTCATTTATATCAGAGCTTCATTGTGCCTGTATCTTAAGTTCTTTCCCTCTTTAGGCCTTTGTGCTGGCTGTTTCTGTTACCTGAAATGTTTATTCTCTAGCTCTTTTCAGTGATGGCTTTTCTCATCCTTGGGATTTGAGCTTTAGTGTCACTTCATCCGAGAAGGCTTTTATGACTGTACCATCTAAGTAGATCCTCCAGTATTTTCTGTGATACCATTCCATGTATTTTTTTCTCAGTGTCTATATTAGCTTTTAATGATTTTTATTTATTTATTTGGTTGTTTATTATGTGTCTTCCCAGTAAAACATGAACTCTGTGAGAGCAGAGACCTCGGAGATTAGCTCACTTCTTGCTATTAGGTGCTCAGTAAATTCAATGAATTATAGTGAATTAAATCTTATTTAACCACTAAAGCTTTAATAGTTTGTAACCATTTTCATTGAACATAGTCTAAAAATATACTGTGTAGTTTTGTGCCTACTGAGCACAGTGCAGTCTTAGGCTGATCATTACAATCATCAGCTTTTGTACTATGTTCTAGTAAAATGATGCCCTAAGGTCTTTACTTTATGCTAAATAACCTCAGATTATAGCGCTGTTCATATTTAGCCCTCTTAAATATATATTTTAATCACAGCAATATTATGTGCTCCTTGTTAATAAAAAAAAAAAGAGAGACTGAAATGACCAGCTACAGTCCTTGCACTCACGTATTTGCAGACTTGGCAACAGGCAATCCCTGTTACATATTCCTTTGTAATTTCTTCTTCTGGTAGTGTTTTCATATCTCTAAGTGTTATTCTTATAACAATATTTCATACAGTAGACTTGATCTTTACACTTCTTGCTATGATAGGTGAAGATTTAACTCATTTCACTGCTTATCGTTTTCATAGCTTTCTATTTCTTCTTTTATTTTTAACAGTAAATAGCATCCTTCTATTTCTTGTCCATTAACTATGGATGATATCTCTTGATTCCCTAATGTGTAACATGAAGATTAGCAAGCACACCCTTCCCTGTCACCTCTTTTCCTTCCCTTTTTCCTACTAGTCCTGTTAACTGTACTTCTATAGTCATAGTTGATAGCAGTTACATTCTCAACTGTAACCATAGTTACCTCTGTGCTCTGTCTATATGTTGATTTAGAAAGTTGAAAGGTAATAAACGGCATTTATATTATTATTTCTGCATAGCATCGACGGCAAGTAGTAGGTTATGATTATGGTTCCTTGTCTACAGTGCCATTGTTTATGACTGCTGCCCCACTCAAAAGAAAAAGCTCAAAATAGTTAACATTTCTCGTCACCAGTTAATTAAGATTATAATATATAATATTATAGATTATAATATGTTTTAATTTGCTTATTTAGACCTTTTATATTCATTTCGTTTTCAATTTTTTCCTGTTGTGGGACCCATTTTACTTAATGGTGGTCTTAATATCTTTCAACAGTTTCTGAATCTAATGATTGCTTAGAATCTCTTCTCTTCATCTTGAAGTCCAATTAAATTCCTGGTCTAAATTGTACTTCATAGCTTTGTAGTTGGATCACTGCTTTCTTACACATCTTCTACTCTTCCTCCCTTATCGTATTTCTACTTGGCATTTCCCTTTTTTGGTGAGGAAGATTGACTCTGAGCTGACATCTGTTGCCAGTCTTCCTCTTTTTTGCGTGAGGAAGATTGTCCCTGAGCTAACTTCTATGCCAATTCTCTATTTTTTGCATGTGGGACATGGCCACAGAATGGCTTGATGAGCAGTATGTAGGTCTATGCCCGGGATCCAAACCCTGGGCTCCTGAAGTGGAGCACACGAACTTAACCACTAGGCCACCAGGCCAGCCCCCCTTTTCCCTTTCTTATAGTACTTCTAGTATAGTCTCAGGTTTTCTCATTTTTTCACTTATATTACCTTTCTATCTGTTATATCCTAAGGTAATTTCATATTCCATACATTCCTGAGAACATTTATTTCAAACTTGATTGTTTGGCTTGAAATAGAATTCTAGATTGGAAATAACATGCCCTCAAAACTCTGAAGGAATTGTTTTATTATCTGCCAGTATCTAGTGCCAGTCCAGTCCCAATCTCATTTGCCCTTGTCACATAATTTTTTTTTTTCTCTGAAAACTTTTAGGATCTTCTTTTTATCTATAATGCTCTCAAATATCACAGTGTGTCTTGGTGTTAGTCTTTTTTTATTCCTCTTACTGAGGACCTGGGAAATAATTTTAATTTGAAGACTTAGTCTCCTTTAATTAATTGTATTATGTATCCAGAAATATTTCCTCCATTTTCTCTCTCTTCTCTTTCTGGGATTCCTCTGTTTGAAAGTTGGATTTATTGGATTGTATCTTTGGGTCCCTTTCTCCTCCCTCCCGCTCAATATACTCCACCTGTGTCTTTCGTGTTTTGTGAATTTTAACTCTGTCTTCTAATGTTGGTGTTTAATTTGAGCAATCATATTTTAAATTTATAAGTGCTCTCTCTTTTACTTTCTTTGTTCCTTTTTAATATGATATTATTCTTTTTTTGTGAATGCTGTTGGGAGAAGCAGTCTGCCATGGGCCCTGAGCATCCCTGCATTTTCTTACTGGGTATGCCAAGAAGGCAGAGGCCTGACTGCTCTTTACCTGGGCATTTCTCAGGGTTGTGTGTGCAGTGACAAGGCTTAAGGAATGAAATAATGTCTCCCACTGAACAAAGCAGGCTTGTTATCACTTCCTATAAAAACAGTAAGTGCCTCAAACTCGGTGTTCTTATCCTGTAACACAGTCAACTGTGTGCGCTGGCATCCATGAGGGACCCTTTGTGTCACCCCGTGAGACTTGGGGGCGTGAGGAACTGATGAAAACGAACATGAAGTAATAAAGTCCTTTGTCTCTGACCCAGGAGTCTCACGTTTTCTTCCAGCATCTGTGAAACAGTAACAGGCTAGCTTATTAGCTTGTATGTAAGATAAAATCTCAGACCCTGCCCAATTCTTGCCGAATGCAGTATCTTCTCTGACTTTTTCTAATACATTAAAGGTTTTTTTTTTTTTTTTTAATGTTTTTGATACTTCTTTGAATTATATTTTTCTTTTGGAGTCTGTTTTGTTTGGGAGTTTTGTTTTTTTATATCATGTCAGGTTTTCCTCAAATATATAGTGGTTTTTTTTTTTTTTTTGCACTAGTCCAGTCATTAAACAATAGAAAGACTAATTCTGGGACTGGTTGGGGGTGGGGCAGAAGTTTGGGTCTACTATTCTATATAAAGAAGTTTAGTTGTGACTTCTATTTTTGGCTCCATTTCTTATCTCAGACTCTGTTGCTTCTTAATCCAGTATTTTTCTTAACTTTTTCCTGCCCTGCAGTTGCCTTTGAGATTATAGCTTCTTCCATCAAAACTTTTCCACTAGCTTTCTGTTTTCCAGATATTTCTTGAAATCTCTTATCTGCTGCTGACTCCACTCCAAGTCTCTTTGTTATTGTGAGATTATACCCTTTTATCTCTTTAGTTCCATTTTTGGGAGAGGGAGGAGATAAACTCCTGTGAATAAGTCAACCATGTGGAAGAAGCACTCTCACTTTTTTTTTTTTTTAATGTTTTAGCGATCACGTGCTTCTTGTGTCTGTGACTGTGCCTGCATCCTTCTAGTAATGCCGTTTCTCTGTGTTTACTCCAGCCCCACACCTAAATATAAGGCTTTCTTATCAGGAAAATCCACTAAATGTTTAATAAAAATGAATTCAAAATAGTAAATATGCTTATAAGAGGAGGGCTTATTTGTGGCATTTAGCGGAGAAATTTTTGCTTACTTTTAGGTTTGAGTGTAAATGTATTTTTAGATAAGTGAGATATATAAAGATGCAATATAACTACATTTACAATTTTAAAACATATATCCTCATGATTTTTGTTTCTGTTAAACTGAATAGCAAATATTCTTAAAAATTGCTCTTTTACTAAAAATTATCAGAAGATTTAAATTATACACGTAGGAGATGCCACAAAATGATTTTAAAGAGCCACACCAGGCTTTTGGCCCACACAGTTTCTATTACAGCTACTCAGCTCTGCCCTGATGTAGCACAACAGCAGCCATAAGCAATATGTAAATGAATCAGTGAGGCTGTGTTGCAGTAAACCTTTAGTTATGAACCATAAAATTTGAATTTTATATAATTTTGATGTGTCATGGAATATTTGTCTTTTTATTTTTTTACAACTGTTTAAAAATATAAAATCAATTCTTAGCTTGCAGTTTGTAGAAAACCTGACCAACTCTTGCCCTAGAATTACTGTTTTAACAGCTTTGTTAATGCTTGAATACTGATACATTTCTACTTTGCCCCTTATCAGGCAAGCTAATGAAGAATATCAAATACTGGCTAACTCCTGGCGCTATTCATCTGCTTTCTGTAACAAACTCTTCTTCAGTATGGTGGACTATGATGAGGGGACAGATGTTTTTCAACAGGTAAAAGAGTTATATTTTATTTTGCTAATATATCTAATAGAGTTGGTTATGGCTGATGCATTTTTGTTTCCCAGATGAAAGTACAATTCATTGAATAAGTTAATGACAGTCAGTAGTTAAATTCTGTGATGTCATTAAAGTAATTTCAGCTAATGTTATCTTCATCATTACACAATTTTTGCCATTAGTGAGTATGATAAACACATTTTAACTTTTGCCTTGTAGAGGATATTTGTTTTTTCAGCATACAGTGGCAGTTTATATGCATTAACCTTATTTTTGTATTTAACTGTATAGAGTTTAGGTGGTATTTTACACAAATTGATGAAATTTTATATAAAATTCAGTGTAAATTTTACTTAGCTTTTACTTCTTCCAATGTGGCAGATAGAGAATTTTATATGTAAATTATTAAATATTTAAAAGTGTTTGTTGTGTTGTGGACTGAATTGTGTCCTTCCTAAATTCATGTGTTGAAGCTATAACCCCCAAATGTGACTGTATTTGGAGACAGGGCCTTTAGGGACCTGAAGTTAAATGAGGTAATAAGGATGGGGCCCTAATCCAATGGGACTGGTGTCCTCATAAGACAAAGAGACAGCAGGAGTGTGTGTGCACAGAGAAAAGGCCACGTAAGGACAGTGCAAGAAGATGGCCGTCTGCAAACCAGGAGGAGAGGTCTCACCAGAAACCAATCCTTGCTCTTTGATCTTGTACTTCCAGCCTCCAGAATTGTGAGAAAATAAATTTCTGTTGTTTAAGCCACCCAGTCTGTGGTGGTGTTAGAGCAAACCAAGCAGATTGATACATTCTCATTTACACAGTCTTCTCTATAGAGAAAGGTATTGAATTGTAGCATAAGGATGCTAGTTGTTATCAATTTTGTCATGTTTGTGTCATCATCATTGCTAACATTGAGTGCTTATGTTCCAAGCACTCTTCTAAGTGCTTCGTGTGGATTCTTTCATTTAGCTTTGCAAATACTGTTATCTCCATTTCATGGATGAGGAAATTCACCTCTCCTTACCTTAAGTTGTTGCCTGTCCAAGTTTATAAAGTTAGTATAATGTGGAGCTAGAATTTGGGCTCAGCAGTCTGGCTCCCAGAGCTCTAGCTCTTTATCCTGCTGTTATCCTGAAGTTATCAATGTTTTTATGTTTATCACTACTTGATCAGTGCCTTTCAAATGTAAAACTCACTGCAGTACCCGGAATTGATTAGTTTGAGTATCTTGGTCTATTTTATTTTTCTTACATGTTACTCTCCTTGGCATAATGCTTTACCAGGTCATTGAAAAGCGTTTAGTTCTGTAAAGAATCTAGCTCACTAATTGTAAATGGGCCGTTAGTGAGTATTTTTGCTTATTTGCTTCCAGATTGATTATTCATTCATCTTTGCCAGTTTCTAGTTGATTAAGATAAATTCTCTGTTTGCCTTCAGTCCCCTTTACCCTTCTTCTTTCCTATTAGTATTTCTCACTTATTTCATCCCCCATAAATTTATTTTGCCTTTTGGGATGTTTCTTTTTGTTCACCTAGTCAGCAAATATTATTGAGTACCTACTCTGTAGGAGCAGTGAATTGGTGAGAACACGTATATAGTTCTTCCCCATAAGAAGCTTACAGACTAGGGAGCTAATAATAATAATAATAATAATATAATAAAAAAGAGAAACACATAAATATGTAATTTAAAATAACCTTATAAAGGAAAATTACAGTACTGTAAGAACCAAATATTATTTCGTGTAATTTATAGGTCACTGTAGAATCTCAGGAGAATTGGCCTTAGAGATCATCAGATGGAAGTGCTATTCATCATATACTTGAATCCTCTCTGCCATATTAGGAAATAGTCATCCAGGTACAAGGTGACTGCTAGAGTAGAGGCTTTGAGCCCCAATATCTACCCTGGCCAGGCCTGGAAACTAAACGAAGACAGCAAGTTAGATTAGTTTCGTATCATTTTGGTGTCTTTGTTTATGTACGTACTTAGTATATTGAAGTTAGTTCTTTACATTAGTTCTTTAGTTCTCACATTAGTTCTTCACTTGCATAATTAGATATGCCCTCTCTTATTTTTATTAAAACAAAGCCTTTCTTGGTCTTTTTCAAAAAAGTGAATCTTTAATGAAAACACTCATATTTCAATTTTCTCTTAACTACTATAAGAAATAAAATCAGCACAACACCATGCAACTGACCGTTGGTCTCATTGTTGAGGAAATGGGATGGTGTGGGTGGGGACGACAGCAAACCGAGAGGGTGAGCTTGACATCAGCGGGAGAGGTGCAGCTCGGCTCTAGCTCTGGTGAAGCAGTGCAGGCCACGTGTAGCTAGACCTGTTTTTTCAAGAAGAGACCCAAATAGGAATTTTTATATGAAATTTCTCTATCTTTATAATGATGGCAGCTAATTCAGATTAAAAAAACAAAACTGTGGGACATACTGATCCTACTTTGTGCTGAGTATTGACTATAGGCTGCCAGTATATAACCATATAGGTATATTCTCAGATGTCATCATTTAATTCTTTTATATGCTTTAGAGATAAGCTTTTTTAAAAGTTTGGCATAGGTATGAGAGTTGAAGTCGAGATTGTTTTTAATTGAAAAATTTCCTCGAGTTAATTTTGATTCAGCAGAATTCCAAATATAGAACTGCTGGTTTGTCTTTTCTAAAACCTAGCCCCTGGCTTAGCAATAAGAGTTTTCATTTTAAAATTCAGAAATGCATAAAAGTTATAGCAGTTACTGATTTTTATGGAGAATTATAATCTACAAAAATAGGGAAGTATATATTTTGCTTTATTTGGGAACTACTAAAAGATTTTTAACGCTTATGTTTCCTTTCTCACTACTGAATCACATTTTGTTGAAGTACTTATTCTAAACTGATGTTTTAAAGCCCTGTGCTGCCTGAAGATAATATTAATAACAAGTGCAGAAACTTGGTAATTCCTGGCTTGTGGGGAACTTGTTGGGAAAGTAACTTCAATTATTTGTGATTCCCATGTGGTGGCTGAGGCTGAACGTCAGATGACAGGCCAACCAGTGAATGAATGTGGTGTGTTAGAAGGAGCCCTAGACTACAAATCGGGTCTGTGTTGGACCCTGTTTTGTGTAGCCTTGGGAATTTCTACATTTTAATTAAGATGAAAGCTCTGAATTACGTGATTTTTTTTTAACTCTAAAATTCTAGGATGTTAAACGATTGCTCTAATGCAAGGACTTCCTCTCTTGTAATTTTATATTTACTTGCTAGCTGTGGCTATCATTTGTGCATCCATCAGGGAAACATCCATGAGCAAAGTTTGGAATGGGAAAAAGCACAGAGAAGAAAGGAACTGGTGATTGTGTGTTTTGTTCAATTTAACCAACATTACTAAATGTCCAGAACATGCGAGCCCACTGCTCGTGCTACTGTATCTTTACCTTGATGTCAACTATGATCTAATGTTTGCATTATTTGATTTGATTTTGCTTTTTGTTCTCATTATTGGTAAATGCTAAACTACACTGCAAGTTAGGGCCAAAAATTAGGGCCAAAAATCTCTTGGCCTTTCATTTGAGATACTTTTCATAATTCCCGGGTAGCAAGAATTTAATCTATACAATTTTTGCAGTTTGCTCCTCAATGCAAATTAACCTAATATTTGTTTTTAGATACTGTATTGTTAATAAGCACCATTTATACTAGGGTAGTGTTCTATTCAATACACTTTTCAAATGGAATTACCTTTAGAAAATCATTGTGAGATATAACCATTTTAAAACAGTTGAATTAATAGAGAAGTTGAACAGAAGAAGGCTATCATTGTGGATTTTTCTACAATCTGGTAAATTCAAATTTAGGGCAAAAATGTTGGTTTCTGTTACAGTCATCATCATTTCAAAAAAGTCTTTACATTTTTAATAGAGAATTCAATCTACTTGTAATTTGTTTGAAATTAATTCCATAATGTATTTATATTTTTCATCAAATCCCAGTTCTTTTTCTCTAATAACTGCTTAAGAAGAGAAATAGTCCACGTACAGCCTAACTACAGTATTTCTATACTTCATTCTTTACAGATATTTCAATATTTCATTTCATTGTTTACTCTAATTACAGAATCCTAGAAAGAAGAATGAAATGGCTGATAAAATATAGAGGATGCAGCTGAGAATATGAATGATGTATGTTAAATGTGAAGGTTCAGAGAACTTATCCAAATTCACAAGTTCTTTTTCATTCAGTAGTGCGTTAAGATGAATGAAAACAGTAATTAAGCTCTGGAAAGCCACTTGAATTTTCGTAGTAAATGCTATCTTTCCAAAATTCATGCAGAGAAAACATAAAATGTTAGATTAATGACATATGAAGATTGCTGGGATGATATTATATTTCGTACTTTTTATCTCCTGTTTTACAGCTCAACATGAACTCTGCTCCTACGTTCATGCATTTTCCTCCAAAAGGCAGACCCAAGAGAGCTGATACTTTTGACCTTCAAAGAATTGGATTTGCAGCTGAGCAGCTAGCGAAGTGGATTGCTGATAGAACGGATGTTCATGTAGGTTTTTATTCCCCTCAGTTTTAATAATAGGCTAATTAGTTTGGTTTGTTAGAGCATTGTAATAAGACCACAGGATCTTTTTAAAATTTCTTCGTAGCATTTCTCCTTGCTTAGAGAAAACTGATAGCTATAAGCTGTAAGCTGAACTTTGACTCAGTTAGGTGAATTGAAATGGTTTTTAGAATAATAGTGCATTGATATTTTACGAACCATTAAAAAGTACATGAGTTAGGCACAAAGTAATTTCGGAGGCTAAAATATAGATGGAATATTGTTCAATGGTGTTTGTAATCAAAGAGATTCTAATTAAAAAGCAAGATGTATAATTTTTATCTATGTTTTAGGTAGGTAAAAATAGGATATTACCCACTTTTCATGAGCCATGTGAGAAAATATCACCTCACATATACTGTTCTTAGGACTATAAATTGGTATAACTGTTCTAACAGTGTGTGTAATATATTTATTTTATGTAATTTAACTTAACACTTCCACTTCTAGGAATCTAACCTCAGTCTCTAATCAGGGATGAGTCAAATGCTTAACCATAGAAATTTTTTTAAATAACATTCATTTTAATGGAAAAAATTGGAAATAAATCAAATGTCTAAAAATAGGACACAAATGAAATGTACTATAGCATATACAAACAATGGTCTGCGAGAATATTTGATGTAGAAAGAAGCTCAAAGTATAACAAGTGATAAAGTAGGTTAAAAAAATAGTATTTATAGTATGATAAAGAATTTTGTTTTAGAGCATAAATGTGAGTATAGATATATAGACAGTTTATTCGGCAAGTAAATGAACCACAGTCTTTATGGTAGTTAATGCCTATGTGGAGGGCTATGGCTACTTTATTTCCTAATCTCACCAGAGTTTTCTACAGTGAACAATTATAACCAGTTATTTTAAAAAGTACATTTACTCTGGAAGTAATACATAAGCATTAATTTTTACCATAAGGTGTAAACACATTTATTCTTAGTCAAAATGGGTGTCTCTTATATAATAGCCTCATCATTGTAAATGAAATATCATCATAGGTTTTAATGATATTTTGGTGACTAAACTTATTTCCTAACTCTTGTTATTGTTTTGAAATGTTTTGGTAAATGTGCAGCTCTGCAGTGTATCATTTGGTTGGTACAAGATACTAAGGGTAATTAATTAAGTCTATTAATTATTTATAAGAATTACTGAATTTTAATCAGAAATAATTCTAACGTATTTATCATACATTTTAAGTTAGTTAATAGATATACTTTTGTAAAAAACATTTATTTGGAAATAATTTCAAACTTTACAAAGTTTCACAAATGAAAATAGTACCAATGTGTACCTTTATCAAGATTCACCTGTTCTTAACATTTTACGCCTTTTGCTTTGCATCCTCATCTCTCCCCCACTCTCTCTTTCTACACACATATTTCACACGCACACATTCGAGGGTAAATTGCCTTCCCTAAGAAATACATAAGGACTATGGATATCAACGTCACAGATTTACGTTGATATAATACGTTTATTTGAGCAACTATCCATATTCCAATTTTGTCAGTTGACCTAATAATATGCTTTAATAATATTTTCCCACCTTCAGTACAAGATCCAGTCTAGAGTTAGGTATTGCATTTAGTTGTCAGGTCTTTTTAGCCGCTCTTAATCTGGAACATTTCCATAGCCTATCTTTGTTCTTTAAAGATATTGACATTTTGAATCCTTTCCCACTTTTTAAATAGAATGATCCTCATTTGATTTGCCTGATATTTGTTCCTGATTGGATTCTACTTATGCATTCTTGACTACAATACTACATCGGTCATGTTTTCTTCTAATCACATCTAATCACATCACATAGGCATGTGATGTCTGGCTGTCCCTCATTGATGATGTTAATTTTGAACATCTGGCCAAGGTGTTTTCCCATTTCTCCATTGTATAATTACTGTTGTTTTTTTTTTACCCCCCTCTCCTTTGTAATTAGTAAGCTGCCTATGTGGAGACACCTTCAGATCATGCAAATATCCTACCCCTCATCAAAATTTTCTCCTAGATTTAGCGTCCTTTGATGATTTGTGCCTGATCCAGATTTTACCATGATAGTTGCAAAATGGTGATAGTCCAGTTCTAGCACTTCTTGCATATTTCTAGTTTGCCTTCCGCATTCTACGGTAAGCAAGAGTCCTTTCCTCTTATCTGTCTATCTGTCTGTTTATCTATCAATGATTGGTATGGACTCATGAATTGCATTTTTTTCTCCAATGGTTTGTAAGTAATTACTATACTTAAATATTTTGGTGCTAAAATTGTTCTAGATTTGGCTAGTGGGAGCCCCTTCATACTGGCTTCTGTGTCCATGTGACATCTCTCCATCATTTTCTTTTAAGCACTTTCTTACTTGCCTCACATAACGGTGTATTCCAGGCTCATCTTGTGTCTACTTATCTACCCTGCCCAGCGCTTAATTAGCCATCTTTCCTCAAAGCCTTGGTTTCTTTTAGTGGGGAATGTTATTAGAACCAAGATCTGTATATACTTTGAAATCAGGAGTTCATACCAATTACATCTACTTTTTAAAAACAGCCTTTATGCTTTAATGGACATCATCAAAAAAGTGAAAAGACAACCCACAGAATGGGAGAAAATATTTGCAAATAATTTGCCTGAATCTAGTATGTATATAGGACTCTTACAACTCGGTAGTAAAAAGACAACCCAATTAAAAAATGGGCAAAGGATCTGAATAGACATTTCTTCAAGGAAAATATGCAAATGGCCAGTAAGTACATGAAAAGATGCTCAGTGTCATTAGTCATCAGAGACATGCAGATCTACAATGAGATGTCTTCGTACCCACTAGGATGGCTAAAATCAATAAATGAGATAATAAGTATTGGCAAAGAAGTGGAGAAATCAGAACTGTAGGAGTGTAAAATGGTGCAACCACTTTGGAAAACAGTCTGGCAATTCGTCAGACCATTAAACATAGTGTTACCATATGACCCAGCAATTCCAGTCATAGGCATATACCCAAGATAAATAAAAACATATGCCCACACAAAAACTTGTACAAGAATGTTTATAGCAGCATTATTCATAATTGCCATAAGATGGAAACCAGTCAAATGCCCATCACTTGATTAATGGATGAACAAATTGTGGTGTATCAATATAATGGAATGTTCAGCCATAAAAAAGAAATGCAGTATTGACACATGCCTATAACAAGAATGAACCTTGAAAACATTATGCTAAATGAAAGAAGCCAGTTACAGAAGACCACGTATTTTATGAAAGCCCAGAAAAAGGGAAATCTGTAGACACAGAAAGTAGATTAATGGTTGCTTAGGGTAGGCTGGAGGGTGAGGGGAATAAGAGAGTGATTGCTAAAGGGTTTTCTGTTGACATGGTTCAAATGTTCTGATACTGACTGTGGTGCACATATCTGTGAATATACTGAAAACCATTGAATTGTATACCTTGAATGGGTGAATTGTATGGTATGTGAATTATATTTCAATAAAGCTGTTAAAAAGTCTTTCAAATGTTCCAGTTTGGAATAATACAAATATTGGCAAATATTTGTGTGCACCCCACCCATTACTAGGTGATCCCATGTTCCATGGGTGAAACATAGGAGCTCTGCGTTGAATATAGGTAATGTTTGTGTATGTTTAACTGTATTCACCTAAACCAAGTCTTTTTACATAGCCATGATGTTTTAGGGCATTTTTTTTTTGACTTGTGAAGAGTAAAAGGAGTGGTAATGCCAGGTATGAAAAGTAGGGTGGCACCTTTCTGAATTCTTGGTGTTGAAAATTGGAAGGACTAGAATATGGTTAAGAGAAAAAATTAATATATGTTTTTCACTTTAAAAATTTTCATTGCATTTTTGCAGATTCGAGTCTTCAGACCACCCAACTACTCTGGCACCATTGCTTTGGCCTTGTTAGTGTCACTTGTGGGTGGCTTGCTCTATTTAAGAAGGAACAACTTGGAATTCATCTATAACAAGACTGGCTGGGCCATGGTATCTCTGGTATGTTATCACATTGTACTTTTTTTCCCTATTTCTTTGTATAATAGGACAAGTTGTATAATATTAACAAAATGAGCCAGATTATTACTATAATGGAAATAAAGTCCGAATGAGAAGTATTAACTTTTTAGGACTTAGATGATATAGTCTAAGTTCACTGTCAGTCTAGACTGTGCTATCTTCCTTCTACTTTTCACTATTCAACTGTAATATCTCTGTGTACTTGGCATATTACATGTGCTAAATAAATATATGTTGAATACATTTAGAAATATAGTAAGAATTAATAATTAGTAGCTTGGAGTCTCTTACAAACTGAAGCAGTTTGGAAGTGTACTCATTCGGCTATTTTTTTCCAACATCTGTTTCTTGTGTCTCTATTGTGTGCCTGATATTTGTTAGGTACTGGGGCTATAAGGATAAGATATTGACCCTGGAATTCATTGTGTGGATACAAACTAATCAACAGATAAATACAATGTAATGTTAATCATGCTGTGATGTAGGTAAGCACAGAGTATTGTAGGAATATGTAGGAAGGATAACCTTGAATAGGGAAAGTCATGATAGGCTTCTTAGAGTGTGTGACGTGAGCTGAGTTTTGAAGAGTAAATGGAGTTCCAAAGTTGTTAAGGCCAAATAGTCAATATATGTAATGCCTGGGCTGTTCACATGACTATATTTCTATGTGGCTCAAGCAATGGTAACAAGACAAGAAGGGGTAAGAGATGATGCTGCAAAGAAAAAAATGGAAAGGTCTTGTATACAATGGTAAGGAGTATGAGACTTTTATCCCGGTGGCAATGGGAAGCCATTTAAATATTCAGGAGAGAAATAATGTGATCAAATTTATGTTTTAGAATGATCACTCTGGTAGCAATGGGCAATCAATTGAGAGGTGAAAGTCTGGCAGCAGGAAAACTGGTTAGGATACTATTAGAAGAATCCAATGAACATGATCCTATTTCAATTTGTACTAAAAGGATTTTTCTTCCCCTTGATTATGATTGTGCTAAATTTCTTTAAAATAATTAGCTAATAAAATGGAAATGTAAACATTATATGAATAAAATATATTCAGACAATATATCTGATATTTAATAGTTATACTAATTAAAATATTGGTGGTGTAAAAATAGGTTTTATAAATAGTAGCATAATATCTATATTATGCAAATAGACTTAAATTATTCATGGAAAATGAAAAGTTTTCCTGATGTAGAGGGGATTAATATTGTTCTCTTTGCTTCTTTCAATTATTTTAAAAGACCTATGATTGTTTAAAACAAAATATTATAACATTGCATTGATGAATTGATGGGTTTATAGTGTGTGTATGTAAGACAATAGCATATGAAACGATAAATTGAGCTATATTGTTGAAAATTTCCTATATGTTCCCTCAAGTCATTCAATATCAACTCTAAATTGATTGCGATGAATTTAAGATACATATTTTAATCCCCAGAGTAACAACTGAGAACGTAATACAAAGAAATATGGCCAGAAAGCCAATATTGTGATTAAAATGGAATACTAAAAGTATGTATCTATAATTAACACAGGAGGAGATATGAAAAGAGGAACAGAGGAATGAAAACACAAGGAGCACAATGCAAATAAAGAAATGACAGACCTAAACACAATCATATCAATATACTTATGTACATTAAATGTAAACAGACATAACACCCTAATCAAAGGGCAGAAATTGTCAGTTGGATCAAAATGCAATAGCAAACTGTGTGCTGTCACAAGAGATACACTTTAGAGACAAAGACATGGAAAACACAAGAATGGAAAAATACATACCAAAGAAGACCTAAATAAATGGAGAGATGTGCTATTTTCAGGGACCACAAGATTTAATATTGTTATGTCACCTTTTCTTCAAATTTATCTAAGGATTCAAAGAAATGGCACTTAAAATCCTGGCAGGATTTTTTGAAGAAATTTGACAAGCTGGCTCAAAAATTTATATAGAAAGGCAAATAGTAGGAATAGACAAATAATTTTTGAAAAAGAACAAAGTTGGAAGACTACCTGATTTTAAGTCTTATTACAAAGATACAGTAATTGAGATATTGTGGATTTGGCGTAAGGACAGACATATAGATCAATGAAACAGAATAGATTCCAGAAATATATGCACATATATGGTTGTTGACTTTCAACAAAGGAGTCAAAGTAATTCAGTGAGAAAAGAATAGTCTTTAACAAGTGGTGCTGGAACAATTGAATATCTTTATGTAAATGATGAACCACAACCCTTATCTCACATCACATATAAAAATTACTCAAAATGTATTATAGTTCTATATATAAGAGCTAAAATTATAAATCTTCTGGAAAAACACAGAAAGTCTTTGTGATACAAAAAGCAGGAACCATGGAAGGAAGAAAAAGATAAATTGGACTTCATTAAGATTAAAAAATTCTGGTCTTCAAGAGATACTGTTATGAGAATGAAAAGACAATCTGTAGACTCAGAAAATATTTGGAAAACATATGTATGGGACATGTATCTAGCATATGTAAAGAATTATTGCTACTCAGAAGACAGAAATCATGGTTTTAAAAAATGGACAATCTGTTTGTAGGTAAGATGGCGTACATACATGCCAACCTTTCTCTCCCACTGACACAACTATAAAACCTGGAGAGAATGCAAGGCTCAGGTATTTGATGTTTCTAAATGACATCTAATTAGGAGATATGGAGGGCTGATAATTTTTTATTTACTATTTTGTCCTTAAAATCAATGTAGCTTGAAACTTGGAAGTGGGCAATGTGGAACAGAAAGAGAGATATTTAGGAGATACTTCTAATTCTGGCTTAAAGAGCAGAAAAGGGAATCTGTAAAGCTCAGAGAGAGTAGGGGAGATTCCTCAGTTTTTTTCCTATTCTCTTACACCCCAAATCTCAGGTAATCCTGTAGCAGGACAGTAGAGGGAGTGAAAGCAGCTGGCAAAGGGGAACTGTAGGAGCCAGAACTCTTAGAGAGGGGAACCTTCCTCTCTATTCAGTGGAACTCTGTCTCCAAGGGAAGGGGCCATGCCCTGCTTTTTTTCTTGTTGTAGTTCTTCTCTTTCTGTCCCCGGGCTGCTGTTACGTCATTGTAGAAGTGGAAATTTTCAAGCTGGAGGACAAGCAGGATCTCTTGGGAAACAGAAAATACTGGCAAGATATTGGAGAATGAGTAACTCTGGAAAGTGATCCCATAAAACTGTTTTTGGGCTCACTTCTGACCTGCACATGTGTGGGCCTGATCCTAATTAGCATTCTAAAGCTGTTGATTACTGAACTAAAGGGCAAAATTCTGCCCATATCCCAGACTGGTCTCTGGGTAGCACTCATAAGGAACAGATCTGAATAACAACACTGCAGTCTTTGAAAATTGAATTGGCATTGGAACTAAGCCTCTAGAATAGATTGAAATTTACGGCCTGTATCTAATGAGGTTAAGTATCTGCGAAAATGAAAATATAAACATTCTCCATAGGATTTCAGTAAGTCACAGAGTCACATTTAATGTAATATTCAAAATATTCAGAGTAAAATCCAGAATCACTTGGCTTACAAAGACCCACAAAAATTTGACTTACTTCAGAAAAAAGAATCGTCAGATGCTCACTACAAGATGGCAGATGATAAAATTATCTGGCAAAGACTTTAAAGTGGCTATTATAAAAATGCTCAAATGAGCAATCATAAACATTCTTGAAACAAAAGTTAAAATAGAAAGTATCAGCAATAAAATAGAAGACATAAAGAATGAAATGGAAATTTTAGACAATCTTCCTAAGATTGTCAAAATTGTATGGCTGATTCAATAAGCAGAGTGAACCCCAAATAAGATAAATCTCCCAAAATCCACTTCCAGACACATCATAATCAAACTAAACCAAATTAAAACCAAATAAAAAAAATATTTTAAACAGCCAGGAAAAAACTGTGCATTACCTATAGGGAACAACAATTTAAATGAATGCTATTTCTTATCAGAAGCTATGGAGGCCAGAAGGAAGTGGCATAACATTTTTATAATTTTGAAAAAAAATGTCAACCCAGAATTCTATATTCAGCAAAAATATTCTTCAGCAATGAAGGTGAAATAAAGACACTCTTAGATAAAGAAAATAAAAGGAAGAGAGAGAGAGAGAAAGAGAAAGAAAAGGAAAACTAAGAGAATTACTGAAGGAAATTCTTTATACAGAAGGCAAGTGATACCAGAAGGAAAGCAGGAATGAAGTAAAACAACAGAGTTTAAATATCTGGCTGCGTATAATAGACTTCTCTACTTCTCTTGAGATGTAAAAATGTGTTTGGAAATTGAAAACAAGAAATATAACACTTTTTGACAGAGTGTTCAATATGTAAGTAAGGGGACCTATATGGTTGTAAAGAGTTTCTTCAGTTGAAGAAACTTCAGTTGAAGTGGTAAAATACTGATTCTGAATAGACTGTGGAAAATTAAGTATGTGTTTTGTAATCCCTAGTGTGACCACTATAAAAGACATGGTATATATACACAATGGACTTCTTATTCAGCCATAAATAGAATGAAATCTTACCATTTGCGACAACACAGACGGATCTAGAGGGTATTATGCTAGGTGAAATAAGTCAGACAGAGAAAGATAATTACTGTGTGACTTCACTTATATGTGGTATCTAAAAAAAAAAAAAAACCAAGAACAAACGAACAGACAAAATAAAACAGAAACAGACTCACAGATATATAGAAACAAACTGGTAGTTGCCAGAGGGGAGGGGATTGGGGACTGGGTGAAATAGGTGGGGGAGATTAAGAGCTACAGACTTCTAGTTTTAAAATAAATAGGTAGTGGGGATGCAGTGTACAGCAAGGGGAATACAGTCAATAATATTGTAATAAGTTTGTATGGTGGCCGATGGTAATTATACTTAGCGTGGTAACCATTTCATAATGTATATAAATATGGAATCACTATGATGGACACCTGAAACTAATATGATAT